TCACGCAAGGCATTGACCTCATCACGTAACTCCCCTAACTCATCCCGTGGAGGTGGAGAACAGGGAGATAAATGTCGTGGCATCTTTTCCGGTCGCCTATCATGAGGTGATGGTGGAGAAGAGGCTCGATGATGTGATATAATAGGTGATGGCTCTCGTTGTAGAGGTGTATAGTGTGGTCGATCAGGTGATGGCTCTGGGTGAGTGATGGCTCTCGAAGTGGAGGCTGCTCATCATCCGTGCCATCAAAAAAACGCTTACTAGCTTGCCACCAATCAGTGGCAAGCTCGACTCCGTGGGTGTCAGCCTCTGTAATGGAGTGTTGGTCTCCTAACAATATAAAAGCTCAAATAAAGTTAAACGTGTACTAGTAATAACTTGTTTATATATGATAGTATTTGTGTTAACTTACATCATTTATTATCGTATACCGTAGTAACTCTTCCCAAATCAACAGCCACCGTTTCCTCTTCCAGGAAATAGCCCTAGGAATATCATTTGAAGTTTTGAATGCATATGTCTGCATGTTGGGAAAAGCCTCAAATATCCAAATCTACAAACAATATAATACATAAACATTAGTAATTGTTAAAATAATTATTTATAATTTTGGAAACATTATATAGAAATTCTTACCTTAAAGGCCCAAATAAAACCTGACAAAGTGTATTTGGAACCATCGCCACGCAAACTTTTGCGGTCATCAAGGACGACAACTTATTCCAGGTAGCTTTCCATAGATACGAACCCTACAGAAATAGGTTACATGCATTTAGGTCCTCTACCAATAATATTAGGTCCTTAGGAATAGGTTGTCTGCCCCCTCTGCCTAAAAAGCCGGCATGCAAAAGTACTAAAAGGCATACTCGGACAACATCGACGTCATCCATCCGAGTAAAACCATCTTTCTTATTAAATAATCTCGTCAAGTCGTCGACGTGTAAATTCGGCTTCTCCATTTACAGCTCAGGAAAAACCCGGGATAACCATGATGGGCGGGTAATATGACTAGTGTATCGACCTACATCATCGTGTCCGAAGCGTAGACTAGTGATTAAGCAAAACTCCTCCCGCCCAAAACACGTATACGCCGGTAGAAAATGAAACCATATCTCTTCATTACCACGTTCTATACTCTCGGGTAGATCGCGTGTCATGGTCTGAAGCCACAAATGGGTCAACATAGCATCTCCACTCGGATGTTGTACTTTCAGCCATGGCCCGAAGTAAGTATCCTCAAACAATTGTCTTTGTACAGGTGAAAGCTTCGACGCAATTGTAGTGACTAGGCTTATTTTATTCCTTAAGGTCAACTGAGCCAAAAAAAGTTCTACAAAAACAATAAACATACCAAGTTAGATATACCAAAAACTAAACTGTGAAGATATACCAAAAACAATAATAAACATAAAGCGTAGTAGTTTATTCTTCAAACTTAATTTTACAACACTGTGAATTTCGTATTTGTCTTTGTTTTTTGGTTGAAGTAATGCAATTCATTCAAGTTTCAATTTGCAGAAGAAGAATAGTTTCTGAAACTTAAAATCGCAACACGAAAATGATTATCGCAACGCGAATTTGACTATCGCAACGCGAAATGGCTATCGCAACGAGATAATCGCAACGCGAATTTTGTCGTTGTGATTTTCATTTCGCGTTGCGATTCTCGGTTTCAAATGGTCATTATCTAAAATTGAAACTTGAATGAATTGCATTACTTTAACCAAAAGACAAAACAAAGACAAATACTAACTTCACAGGGTTAAAGACTAACAGTAGCAGTATTGGCAGCAATCTATTATTGAAATTACCAGTAAACTTATCATTAATTTCAATATAAAAAACCTAATAATAATGCAAAAATTTCAAAATAAAAATAATTAAAAAAACTAACCCTCGGTGGTTGATTTGGTTGATTTTCCATTTCTGATCGTGAATGATTGTGAGGGTGGCTCTGAGAGATGGAGATAGACGGATTTCGCAGGAGATGGGGACGGATTTCGCCGGAAATGGGGACGGATTTCGTCAGAGATGGGGACGAATGTCGCCGTAGAGAGTGAGAGATGGAGATGGGATTGAGTTGTGATTTAGAGTTTTAGGTTAAGAGTTACGATTACGGGTAAATATTCGTGTTTGGAATTTGAAAATAAAATACGCGTTGCGATACTAATGGCGCTTTGAAAATCGCAACGCGATAGTCAGAATCTCGTTGCGATAGTCAGAATCGAGTTGCGATCACGTATTATCGCGTTGCGATAGTCCGAATCGCGTTGCGATAGTCAGAATCGCATTGCGATAGTTAGAATCGCGTTGCGATCACGTGTTATCGCGTTGCGATTTATATATTCGCATTGCGATTATCTAAAATCGCAATGCGGATTTCGAAAATCGCAATGCGGATTTCGAAAATCGTAATGCGATGGTCAAAATCGCGTTGCGAATCTGGAAACTGAATTGCGATAATGGAGATCGCGTTGCGATTTATAGATCGTATTGCGATTTAGAGATCGCATTGCGATTTTGTTGGTCATTTTGGCAAATCGTAAAAAAGTTGGTTAAAATCGTATATTATAAGGAATTTTCGGTCACTGAGATTATTTTCTCATAAAACTCTCCTCATGTTTTTAACTTTTCTTAAATCGTTGAATTAGCATAGGATGTTTTGGAAAAGAAAGATCCAACAGTGGGTAATAGTAAAGAGTGTAAAATATTTTGCAGTTGCGAATACTTCTCATGAAAATCAAAGACCAATTGTAATTCAGAACAGTTCGGACCATCTGTTATGTGGATGCTTCTCATTTTAATTATTACATAATTTGGGTAAATGTCGTGGGAAAAGGGTTTGATGCCGAACTGTTAGATGTGGAAAATTTAAGGAGGGTCCGAAGGGTAATATATAGATTTGATCATTATCTTAGTTGTCACATTTATATTTTAAATCTTATTATTTACTTAATATTTTTTTATTTTTTTATTTGTTATGAGTTAATATAATATTCTTAAGAAATTTATAAGTAAATACAAAAATAATTAATGATGGTAATTATGTTTATGTATTAATAAAAATCTATAAGTGTTACAAAATACTCTAAAAATCATTAAAAGTGATTTTCTACAATTATTATTATAATTATTATATTTTATAATGAGTTGTGCGAATTTAAAAAAAATCACGTCCGCGACACCCGCAGTGACTGCAATAGCCTCTGTTACGTCCGCGGCCGCGATAAACGCAGCGCGACCGAAAACGCGACCGCGACTGCAATTTGAATCCCTGCATACCATAAAAAAAGCTATATGACAGCCAAACCGACATAGAAAAACCCTAACATAGAGAGTTTTAAACCTATCTAAACAAAATTATTTGATTGTGTTTTTTTAGTTTATATATATATATATATATACTTATATTATATAGTTTATATTATATATATATATATATAAAAGTATATATTTATAATGTATGCATAAGTATAATGTACATTATATATACATGTATCATATATATATATATATATTATAATTGTTTCAAATTTTTTCTCAACTTTTGAAATGGATGCAATTCAGTTCATTTTGTAATTTTTTTATCACATTCTACAATTTTTTTTATCACATTCTACAATTATTATGATTTGATCATTTTATGTTGTTTAATTTATTTAAATTTTAATTTGTAATTTTATATGTATTCTATTTAGTATTTAAAATTATATTTGTATCTGAAATTTTACGAGGTACCTTTAAAAGGGTAGATTTACCACAACCATTAGGTCCAACAAACACCCACAGTTGTCCAGAAGGAATCCGAATTGAACAATCCTTCAGAATCGGCACTATTTTTCCCTGCCTTGTATTAACCGAGAAGTTGATATTACGACCCTTGATAGCAACATTCTCAGTTACATTATCCCTATAACTAAACAACACAGACTCAAACACCCACAACAAAGAAAATTGAAAAGAAAAAAACATAGACTGTTCGATAAAATGCATAGCTGAAAAGAATTTGATGGTTTTGAACCTCGTAGAAGAAGTTGAGCGAAGAGGGGAAAGATGAGGCAGAGATGTAGGAGCGACAGTAGAGAGATTCATGTTGTTCTTTGCTCTAGTTATGTTGAATGCGTTTTATATATATATATATATATATATATATATATATATATGAGAATTATCTATGCTATGGAGAATTTTACAGCCAGCGGCAACTGCACCAAAGCACTAGGCTAGGAGAAAGGATTATATGAATACTTTTACATTTACAAGTCATTTATGTCTAAACAAAAATGGAATAACAATATATACAGATATAATCATTAAAATCAGAGTATTCACAAGAAATTTAGTATTCTTCTTCTTCTTCTTAACGTTACATGCGTTGTCTCTGTTTTGTGACAACTCAAGATCATCCTTGCAAGATGCAGCTGCCACGTTTGAGATCTTGGGTGCATATATTTGGCAAGCCAAGTAAGTTTACTTTTACATAATGTGTAAGCTTTGTCACTTTCTATAGTTGAAACATAAATGGATGTTCATTGTTCATGCAAATAAGGTAAAAGCCTCAAAGATTCAATGTGGTGAAATTGTGAAATGTGAAGTTTTTATATATAATGAATATCCGCTGAGTGGTAAAACCGGCACTGCATGCGAGCTACTAGAGAAACGGCTGCGCTGCAATGTAAGCTAGAGTCAGTGTTTGTGAAAAACGACAGAGCTTAAAAAGATTTTTAAATTGGCGACCAAAGTCAATTAGATCGAAAACGTTGGGGACTATTCGTATAGTTTTCCCTAAGACAAAACATCAAGATGTATTGATTCTACTTTAATCCTTGTTTAGTTCCACATACAAAAGTAAGCATTGATGCTATTTTAGTCCTTGTTTAATTCTACACAGAAAAAAAAAAATGCTCATTTTTACTTATTTCTATTGTTCATCCCAACTGATAGCCCCTCATTGTCCTGAATAACAAATCAATAGAAAGAAAAATAGATTTCTTACAATGAAGAGATAAAGAATATGAGTGATGATATGGAGTAGTTTCACCCCTTGTTTGTAGTATAAGATTTAAGTGTATCATCAGAAATAATACACCCTTATTATTCTGAAGATAAAGAATGTGTATAACAACAACAATGGTGACCCCACGCCCATGGTAGCTTGCCCAAATTCGCCTAAAACACAGTTGAATCCAACTTGTGATGCAAGAATAACTGGTAGTGTTAGTTTGGACGGTGATGTCTCTGCATCATTCTGCAAGTAACATACATTAGCATAATTGAAGTCTGAAAGCCAGTAGAGTTATGCTATCATAGGATTAGGACCATAACAAATTAAAGTCTCCGGCACCGTTTGGTTGCATTTCTTAGCTCCACCAGAGAAGGAAGAGGTTTAGGCACAGGTGCATACATTGACCTGTACAACTTTCGAAAGTTGTCACTATATCCCCTTGAAGATCCAATAGAGTAAGAACACTTGTTACTAGTTTCCTCGCTCGATAGGTTCTCAGATTGCATTGTGGTCTCATCCACCTGTTTGTTTTCGCATCTGTACTCATGATAAGTATCCCGTCCAATCTCCTCACCTTGCACAAGATGATCAACTGCATCTAGCTTGTTTTCTAATCTTTTCTCAAAAGTTTCCATAGTCACAGAGTTCTCACATTGCAGTGCAGAAGCTTCTGCCTCTATTTTGATTTCCAATCCATTCTCAGAATCTTCATTGGTGTTCTGGATTACAAATACCTGTTTCATTTTATCGACAACACATAGAGGGTTGTCTTTTGTAAATATGCTTTTTTCCTCGGGTAGAAAATTAGGATCATGGAGACTAAGCCTTGCCCGACCAAAAAGTGTTACAGGCGGCCTTTTGCTTGGAGGAGACAAGGTCAAGAGATTTTTCTTGTAAGATGATATGATAATAGGCTGCAGTACAGGTTCTGCACAATTTTGAGTGAGCTCATTAACCTTGGGAGGACAAGCTACAGTTTTGACAGGTGAATTTCCTTGCCCGACCAAAAGTGTTACAGGCGGCCTTTTGCTTGGAGGAGACAAGGTCAAGAGATTTTTCTGTAAGATGATATGATAATAGGCTGCAGTACAGGTTCTGCACAATTTTGAGTGAGCTCATTAACCTTGGGAGGACAAGCTACAGTTTTGACAGGTGAATTTACTGGTGGACAAGCTTTCATATCAATGTCCAGAAGCTTCCAAAGAGAATCATCAGAACTTACATGGGAATCCAAACAATGCTTCCTAGCATAATCCAACTCCATTGCTCGACAACTGGGGGTTGTTGACACAACTCTTTTAGGAGCAAGAATTTTCAAAGCCCACTCTAGTTCATTCCTTGATGAATGCATTGAATAACAGACATGCCAAACACCAAACTGATCCTTTATTGCTTCATTAAATCTCATCTTCCTTCGACTATCAGCTTCTAAACGCTCTTCCTCACATGCATACCACATTGCTGAAGGTCGTATAATGAGGGGCTCATGCTGAAATTTAGCTTGGGCCTCCGCAAGCATTACTGTTGCTCGTTCAGATAGTTTAGGAAAACCATCAAACAACCGGAAACGAGAAGTCGGATCTTCCGAAAGAATTTCAGGAGATATGATACTCAGTGATTGGAAAAAATCAGGATTGGTTGCCTTATCAACATAAATCTTGGACCCAAAGGTTCCAGATACACTGGTAAGAATCTCTTCCTGACCCAGAAGGTCACATGTTAGATACACAATGGGTGCATTTGGATGCTTCCATATAGGATGTACAAACGTCAACAGGAGATAAAGAAATATCATGAATAGAGCCTCATGAAACTATCACCAAGACTAATCAAAATAATGACAAATAACAAGTGAAAATAATAATTTAATTAAAAAATTTAAGAAGTTTAATGCACACCATCCTTTTCTTATAAACATATTTGCTCTCTGTATTGATGATATCATGCTTGTTAAGAAAGTTAACTGTGTTAATTTTAATTTCTCTTAGAATCAAAACACAAAGCAACTACTTGCATGTTTACTTCCACCAGCTTCAGTGCCTTACTAACAAACAAAAGCAATATCTGACATATAATTTATAACAGAAATATTTCATTAGTTTAATGTACAAAACATCACAACTAACAATAAATACATGCAAAGGAATCCACCCCAACCCCTTCCCTTCCCCATTTCAAATTGCAGTAGGCCAGTTAATAAAGAAAGTAGTGTCAGGTTATGGTAGAAAACCTTAGTGGTGTTTCTTAAGTTGGTAATGCATTCACAAGAAATAAAAGCAATGAAGCATTCTAGATTCAAGTTGTCTCTACAACGTTAAGATAATAAAAATGAAAATCACCAAGAAAATAAGGACTACCTGACGGATTGCTGAATGCTTGCTGGGCAGGTTCCGGGCGAATCTACCAAAAGTACAGTCTAGGAAAAGATAATCAAAACAACATTGTGGCTCTTTTCCTTTACTGCCAATATACTTCTCAGGTAAATTTTGGAGGCACTCGAGGGTGAGTCTACAGTCTCCAGTATGCAAGATGTTACCAAAACTGCCTTCAAACAAGAACATAACTGCTCCTGAAATTCATGCGATCTGTCAATAATTTTTTCCCCCAAATCATGATAAGCTATGCATAAAGCTGAAAACATGGAAGAATTACCAAAAAAATCCCCAAATCTCCACACCACTTCATCACAAAAGCAGAAAGTATCAGCTTTAAATGTCTAAATATCTAAAATTCAAACACAACAAGTTCTCAACTATGCTACTTAGGACTCTCCAATTTCCCACAAACACCAAATATGAAACATAACAAGGTACGATAATTCGGACATGGATACAAGGTATGATTCTTCAAATATACTGAAAAAACTAAGAATATCTATGTCATACACATTTCTACATCCAGCACACACCCCGAGTCAGGGTGACATGAAGTTCCAAAATAGAAAAGAGAATACCATCAAGCGAGCAGATCAGATGCTTGAGCAGTTCTTATATCAAAGTTTATCAGTACATGATGAACAGAATTTTTTCTCAATTTCATGAGAATTGTCTGCTATACTAGAAATCCAATACTCTTTATCATAAAAGACCAACTGGAGTACATCATGACAAGTATTGATGTCTAAATGTTATCCTAGAGAACAAGATCCCTAACTACATTGGGAACAATAAAGGAATTATTGCAAACATCAAAATCCTCTTCAAAACATATGCAAACCATAACAAATTTCATTCCATAATCACTTTTGCCACATGCTTTGTATTATTAGCTTTTAACTTAAAAAGAATTTGTTAAAAAACAAAAGCAAAATGTAAAATGGCCAAATTGTAGAACTGATTGTAACATAATTGTTTCAGATAAAAACCAAAACACTGTTTTTATAAAAAAAAAAAACAAGTAAATTAGAATTTTAACAATCAACTATAGCATCCTAACATGTTTCCTTGTTTTGAATGTTAAAAGAAGAAAAGAATTGACAATCAAACATAGTCTTTTTAAAGCTTTGTTTGCATAAGCAAAGACAAAACATAAACTTCTCCACTTAAAGCTATATCACATAATTATCGTCATAAGCAAAGACAAAATCCCATAATTATCGTCATACATTAAACCCAATGCTGAGAAATAATCAACAAAAAATCCCCAGATAAAAAAATAAATATAAAAACGACAAAATAGACAAAAAAATTGATCAAACCAATGAAAACAAACACGAATTACCGGGACAATGATTAGCATCAAAAGCTGTAACCTGAAATTCCCCATCCGGGTCATCGATAACAATGGATTCCCCAATTTCAATTCCCACGAACAAAGAATCATCAAGCTGGAAAGCCACCAAAAGAAGAAGAAATAAATCAGATTTAATAAAAAAGAAAAAGTTTATACAAATTCCAAAACAATGAAAAGAAGAATAAAGGCAAGACCTGAGGGTAGTTTATAAGAACAAGGGATTTGGTGAGATGGGTAGAGTAAATTGGATAAGAAAAGTGAGAGGAAATGCCAAAAGTGTGGTCTTTATGAGCATGGGTCAAGAAATGGTGTCTTTTTCTCTTGGAAGATGGAGTGAATGTGTCCACTGAGAAAGGCAGCCCTTTGGGCATTTCAATCGGCATCTTTGCTTCTGGGTGACAACATTCATGTGAATTTGGGGCTCTTTTTATTTGGATTTTCTACCCTTAAGGCTTCCAAAGGAAGACAGATAAAGGGGGGAATGGGAATTTTCCTTTTTCTTCTGGAATTGGGTGGGAAACTAGAATTTGAGAATCGAGAACCGAAGAAGAGTATATTTATCAACAATTTATACTTTAGGGTAAACTATCGCGTTTGGTCAATTAATTATTACCGCTTTTCTATTTGATCAATAAACGTTTTTTAATTTTTCACTATAGTTACAAATTTATAATTTAGGGTAAATTTCCTTGGTGGTCCCTTAATTATTATCTTTTTTATTTATTCAGTAAACGTTTTTAAATTTTCTCACTAAAGTTACAAATTTCAATCATTTTGGTCACTCTTAGAGTCAGATACATTTTTAATTTCATATACATATCAATAATCATTACATATGTAATACACTTTTATCTAAATATTTTTAATTCTCACTAGATTTGTATCTAAATATAGTTAAGAAACATCATAAGTTATTCACATCAATACACATATATAATCATATTTCAGATATTTTTTAAACGTCACTTTATATGCTAGCTTATTAGACAATGTGCAAGGGCTTGTGAATAATCCTAAGAATTATCCAAAATATGATTAGATGTGTGTATTAATGTGAATAACTTATGATTTTTTCTAACTATATTTAGATATAAAATTCATAAATCTCAACTAATTCATTAAGAATATTCTATAATGATATGATTGTATGATAATGTAATCATGTTTAGTATGTATGCATGTATGATATAAAAGTGTATGGCACCTATAATGATGATTGATATGTATAAGAAATTAAAAATATGTTGTAGCGATCAACGTTTGATTGTGTAGGTCAAATGACCAAATTAACTTTTTTTCTCAGTTTAAGTGTCACATTGAATGGGAAAAAAGTTCATGGTTCACAATGATTTTTACAAATACATGGAAATAGCTTTCTCCGCGTATGAAGGGTTCAATGAACAATACATTCAACATTCGAGGGACTGAAATCAAACGACAATGGACTCCACCTTCTCCCAATATTGTCTATGGGAATACAGCTTTTAAGAATGACAAGGAATCTGCACGTATTATTGCCATAGCAATGGCCAGTGGAGCGATATTGATAGGAACCTACGCACAAGCACTAACAAAGTGATTGTTAAAGCCATCAATGGCAAGAATTGTATCTCGTGGGATATTGCATATGTTTCTCGTGATGTTAAAGCTTTCTCCTCGACATGGAGGAACATCTGTTTCCGTTAATATCCAAGAATTTGTAATGTTGTTTGCCGATAGGATTGCCAAAAGGACAAGAAGAAATAGGTGTCCTAACCAGTGTTGGATATACTAATATATTATAGAATAGAGGCTACAAGCAACAAGTATTGGATCTCGGTTGTTGTCCTAAACTCCCACTCCACCAAAACTTAGCAATAAAATAAAACAAAAAATAATTAGCAAGTTGCCATTTGTCAATTCCTATGCAAAAAACAAGTTTAACCAATTGTCAATTTCCATGCAATATAGTTTAACCTGTTGTCTCGTTTGCAAATGCATCGACACCTAAGCAAATCAGATAAAACTAAACAACAAATTAAACAAATGTATGGCACACACACAGCATATAATATATTCATCATAAAATAGGTTAATGTTATACAAATTGTTGTACTTTCCGATTTTTTTTTGAGCCACTTCTTTATTATTCTTCTTTTGTATATTAAACTTTCAAATTTTCTATATCTTTTTAAACTTTCAAATTTCAATATTCTCCGTACAGCTACAACCTTTTAACGTAACCTCTAATAGTTTCTCGTGATCATCACCAATCTATAAATAATCATCATTATTATAAACTTAACACCAGCACCAAAAGTATGTATATAAGTCACTATATAATATTGAATGAGAATCTCTCTATTGATCTTTTTGACTATTTATCATCTCTTAAACCTACTAAATAATTATATACGAGTTTCTATCTAAACTAAAAAAGACAAACCATCAAAAAACCTCCGCAACCTCATTTATTCTCTCAACACATAACCCAAACAACTTGAAATTTGAAGGTTAACTTCATATCTCAGTTGGATAGAAGTCAATGTAATCTCACACCATTTTCCCCCCTTAAAAAAGTGAAGAAATTTTCACGGCACGTTATTTATGGAGCCGCCTTTATTATCTGGGACATGATTGCCGACATTGTCTCGTTATCGTGAGGATGTGAAAAGGAAAGAATGACCAAATTCAATGCCCTTTTCCCTAAACTATAACCCCACCCCACCCCCACCACCACCACCCAAACTCGGTAAATGACAGACTTACATGCAAGATGATGGCATATACTGTCAGCAATGTGATATTTGCAGACATCTTAATTTAAGAAGCGTGTCTCCGTACAAAGGCACAATATATGGCCCACACCGGGAGACATACGCATAATTTTATTTTAACAGACATCTTAATTTAAGAAGCGTGTCTCCGTACAAAGGCACAATATATGGCCCACACCGGGAGACATACGCATAATTTTATTTTAAGAACGACGAACTTATAAAATTTTAAATATAGATGAATTTATAAAATTTTAGAAGATGAAAATATATTTTTAATAAAAAATACAAAGAAAAAAATTTAAGGGAACAACCACCTCTACCCGCCCCTTTATGTCCATCCCTGCCCCACCAGCTGCTGTTTCACAATGAAGCTTTCAATCTGTAGGCTAAACCGTTGATGACTAGTTATGGTATTAACTACTTTTTCATGAACCAATAGTATACAACAGCGTCCATTTTACAAATGAGGTCACCACCTTCCATATACAACGAAAAAAATTCAACGATATATTGTTAAAATATTAAAAGAAAAAAGAAATCCTACCATCATCTTTTCCAAGCAACAAAGTCCCCAGATATTCTTCCCCCTTCCCAATAGCCTTAAGTTCAAGTATGTAAGCACTTAATTCTACCAAAATAGGGAGGGTTCCTTTCATGCAACAATTATACTTGATTCCAGTAGCATTTCGGACAGAGTGGAAAACGGTACTTTTATCCTACTGCTATTTACAATAACCCTGAAAGAGGTCTCGTTCTTGGCGGGGTGCCTGGTGTTTGAACTTTTAGTTGTGAATTTTTGAACCAAGGATCCTGAGTGTACCTCGGGTTTGGTCTCAATGCATTCCCACAGAAGTCACCTAAGTTGCGACCACTCTGTCCTACAAACTGATAAGTTGGATGAGGAGGAGAAAGGTAACTCTTGTGTGCCGGACCATATCTTAAGGGGCTTGAAGAAGGAGATACAGGCAAAGATGTGATTGTTCTTGCATTATCTCTGTGCATAAATACATGGTTGGCAACTTACTTTAGAACTTCTTTCATGTATTTTAAGCAAAGAAAAATGAAGGAAAATATGTTACGGTTGTTAGTACCTTGGACTCCTCAATGCTCTTGAAGTTGTAGTCATTCCTCCCATTCCATAATCTCCATCGAATGATAGGATATTATTTCTCTTCGACTGCATTTCTAATATAGGCTGCTCAAAGAGTTAAGATAAGAACAGGGATTTAGCTTAAATCCAGCTTTAGTTATAAGAAAACTTAAAGTACAAGATAATGGTTTAGAAATGTGAAAACAAATCTAGCTCAAGTGTTGAGCATCGCTGTGAAAAGTGCTGCTATTTGTTCGACTGCATTTCTAATATAGGCTGCTCAAAGAGTTAAGATAAGAACAGGGATTTAGCTTAAATCCAGCTCTAGTTATAAGAAAACTTCAAGTATAAGATAATGGTTTAGAAATGTGAAAACAAATCTAGCTCAAGTGTTGAGCATCGATGTGAAAAGTGCTGCTATCTGTTGAATTAAAATGTCAAAAAGAAAATTGCATAAAATAGTACTTTCATCTTCAAAAAGTGGGTTTAACCGTAATACAAGGTTTCTATTTATGCAGTATCCAAGTCCAAAAATGACATGCTTTTATATTAAAACTCAAGACGCTGAATTTGTTCCTATAAGCATTTTATAAGTCAATCAGTTCAGAATGCACTAGAAAAAGTCTTCATTAAATGTATGCAATTCAAATTCTATGCAGTAATAGTAATAAAAATCTTAAGAACGTATACCGGAGTGCGGCTTCCATCGAAAGTGTAAGGAAATGCATCCTTGGTTATGCTTATGTTAGCAACTCTTGTTGTTGCTTGGTCACGAATGAAAGGGTGATCTAGCAGTTGTAAGGCTGTAGGCCGTGCTGATGGGTCTCTTTGTAAGCAAAGCCTAATGAAACTTTTTGCTTCATTAGAAAGGTGATCAGGAATCTCAGGCATATCTTTGCTGTTTCCGATCTTAAATATTGCAGCCACCTGTTGAATCCAGAAATATCAAAAGGATTATTCCACAGCTCAGAGCGAGCCAAAAAAATATATTATCTGAAAGATGTTTGGAATTAGTATGTCCCACCCCTTCATACCGACTCCATGGTGGTTTTGATGTTGCCATTTCAAGAATAGTACAGCCCAAGCTCCAGATATCCACCGCAAGGTTATAGCCATTTGTGTTCATTACAACCTGAGATCAAAAGCCATCCCTAGGCTTCCTGAACGAAAGCATTGTACCACAAGCTGTTATCTATATCAGAAAGAAGGAAAATTAGTGGTTTGTCCTGATCACTAACTGGGGAAAAGAAAGATGCTAGAAAGGTGGGAGAAAAGATGACTGACAGTCTTAATTTTCAGCCCATAGACGGGGAGAAAAAGGAAGCAGGTTTCTAGTTTTAATTCACTGACTGCCATTTTCAGTTTTGATTTGAAGTATCTAATTTGTTAAATTTACATCAAAGTCCTAAATTTTTCAGCCTGAAATACATTCAGTTCTGTAAAAGGAAGAAAAGAATAAATAAGAAAATATCAACTTTCAAGTTAAATTAAGGTTTAAGGGATCATCTAAAGGAAAAAATTCTACAGAAAAACACAATTTTCTTTACAACAAATCAGCATCCTATCAACGCCGTTTAGTAGATAGTTAATATATTAGCCACAACTATTTTTTGAGAGATATTTGAAGCTTCAGTAATAAAACTACAA